TGAACGTAATACAAATAACGTATATCGATCTCAACGTTCATATTTATAAATATGTGTGATTTTTAAAATTTGCTTAGAAATATGTCTTTTAAAAATGAATTGATTGCAATGGATTTTAAATTAATTGTCGAATATTAAATATCTAAATATTTTTGGAGAAAAAGAATTGCAACTGCAAATTATTTCTTTCATTAATTTACTGCACTTTGCGTCTGCACCTCCGTTAATTTGTGCATAATAGAGAAACAGTTAAAGATTTTTACAAGTCTTGCTCTCTTCTGTCTTACGCTTACGTTTACCGGTAAGTAATTCTTTTACTTTTTTTTTTGGTCTTGCGGGAGAATAGATCCTTATCGTGTTTAAAAGATACTGTGAAATATGTTAATAACATACTGTCGCAATTGACGAAGTCGGATTAATTCTACGTCGTAGTCGCGAGATATAATTTTAATCGGAGAAGTCAACAGAGACAATACTCTCTCTATAGTGCCGCATCGACATTAAGAAATGAGGTAACTTTGGTTAAGACGGTACTTTACAGCACCCGCAACTAGCCGTAGCAATTATATCATAGTTTCCAACGACGATTACATTCACAGGAAATCGAAAGACTTTAAATCGTGATTAGAATAGCGATGAGTGCTTCCTGCGCATTATTTCCATGCTTAAATCGACTAATATTATATGTATGTCCAGATTAATATTTATATTATACAAAATCTGCGATTGGTACCGAGTTGATAATTTTGAAGCAATTCAAAAGTGTCGTCTTTAAAATTCTCGTGCAGAATAATTCGAGGGTCGAAATTATTATTTTTAACATCGACTTCAGACCGTGTCTTTAGTCATTAGTGTTACTTTTGCAATCATGTATATATGTATATATATATATATATATATATATATATATATATATATATATATATTAGACGAATATATCAATTTCATAATTTTCGACGATGACCTTATTAAATGTGAATTAAGCTACTGCTTTTCTTGCATTATAAATTGTGGTGGTAAAACTGGACTCGTTTGAAGAATTCAACGTTCTCCAGCGATTAATTAATAAAAATTCGTAATTAAATTTGTACCTGCACGAGACTCAAATAGACTCATGAAATTCTCTTGGACAATTGTGAGCGCCAATCTTATCACTTTTCCACACGCTATATCGCTAAACCGTTGTCCTATGATTTTATTATTGATAGCTTAAGAATACTTGTTGTCAATAAGTTGTCAATAAGAAGAGGATCACGTTGCTTTTTTAACATGATAAAATGGCACAAGATTATACTAAATAGGTACTGGTATCTTCTTTTTCTTCATACTGATTGCGCGGAGGTCTTAAAACCTCATACGTCCGTCTTTGATTGGATACAATCAAACGGCGTGTCTTACTTATACGTATGCGATAATGCGATGTTACATTTTGGCGTGGCGTTAATAGTAACCGCGTCAATCGATAATCATCATCCTTCGTATAAAGTGAGATCTATCAACAACGATAATGGCTGCCTAGCGCAATGCATGTTCAATACGTAACTAGAGTTATGTACAAGGAAGTGTATATGACACATATCGATGTCTATATATAGCGCTCACGTGAGATTATTAACGGCGTGCCGCGAGTAAACACGAGTACATGTTATAGTTACGTGCGTATAAGTGCGCCAATAATAAAGATCGCAACTTCTTTTTTTTCTGAACGAGATATTTAGAACGTTTCAAGGTACACTTGGAGCTTGATCGCCGAAACAGAGCACCGGGATCATTTATGGTTCCGATTGGAAACGCGAATTTTCGACTAGCAAAGTTCGGAATCGGCTTACCGTCCACTATATATTTATTTATGCGACGAAACGAACAATATTTATTATTACATAATAATTTTCGCGTTCGATTTTCTCAATCTTCTCTGTTCGCAAAATATCAAAGGCTTTTTTATGTTCGATTTTTCAAATCTAAATACGCATGGTAGAATAACTGAAACACGAAATTGTGCCAATCAAAAGCCTTTCCGAATCGAAAAAAATCACTACTCTTTATTCCGTCGCAACGGCAATAAGCCGATCGCAAATTTAGACTAGAAAGCTCGCACTTTCGATCGGAATTGTAAATAGGTGCCCAGAATAGCAACTTCGTTGGCACTTTGACAGAAAAGACCGACGTAGGAAAGACATTTGTTGTGCCGCTGCACAATAACGATTAATAATCTTAATTGAACGATAGCAATTATGAAATTTGATAATTAAACTAGCTAAATAATTTTTGCATGTAACATCACATAAAAGTTTTTCTGTGATAACATAGATACTTATTAAATACTTATGACTAGCATTTCGCTTTAAATAAAATATAAACGCAAAATAAAATAACTCTCTAAAAAATAATAGATAGTATCTTATTTACCCAATGACCGATCAGATTACATCTGAAGGATGATCAAGAATTATAATTAGAATTCGTAAAGATGCTATAGCCAATCGTAATATATTCAATTTCTTTTGTACACTCTAGAAAATATTCTTCCAAGTTATATGACAGAGCTGCCTGATTTTAACGTCACGTAAAAGAACACACGGGGTTAAACGAGAGAGAGAGAAAAAAAGAGAAAGAGAGAGAGAGAGAGAGAGAGAGAGAGAGAGAGAGAGAGAGAAACGTGAACGTCTAGACAGCTCTGCTATACGACATGTTCTACGGTTACACGTTGAGACTCTGAATTACACAAACTTTTTGTTTTTGACATTTTAAGATCGATTGCATCGACGTCAACTACTGTTCTATTCATATAATTAATTGAGTATTCTTTTTTTTAACACTGGCCATAGACTGAACCATAATGTAAGAGACATTGTTAATTAGGGCTGATCTCATAAGGGTTGTCGATGCAATCTCTCGCTCATCGCACGATCTTCCTTCAAATTGGCACAACGAGGCTTTGATAAGAAGTGGGCAACCTCTTGAAATGGTCAATAGTATTATTTTTCCAAAGATGTCTCGCGGATTATGACAATTCTTAGTAAGATTAAAAAATATTACGTAGAAATTTAATTAAAAATTTTATTCAATAAAATGAAAAAGGCTTTGTGCCTTGTTATGGCTCTGTTTTTTTCCATTTTATTTATTGATTTCTAATTATTTGAGCCTTCTAAAATTAAAAATTTCATGTTTCACGTTTATATTAGGTATTCACTTAACTTGTTTTTCGTGAAACCTAAAACAAAGTTAGTTTATACCGTGTGTTAAAACTAGATGTTTAATAACGAGTATCGATTTTTTTGTAAATTCTTTTTATTTCACTGAACTGTGGTATTATTACTTTAATTTCCTCTTTTATTTTCAATTTAATTTTGCCATTTTGCACTAATGAAAAGAGACGTTACCCACTTTCAATTTAGATCATTCGCGACAAAAAAAAATGAAGTCGAGGAAGAATTAGTATTAAAATCACAGGGAAAACAGCGATACGCGGTCGGTATAAACTCGTAGAAATAGAAATCGCATAAATTTCAATATTTCAATTAATATTTCAAACGCAGTCGTGTCCAGTCATATGCTGAAAAGAGCAATTGTTTCAAAGTATCAAGTATTTTCAAGTAAATTTGGCTAAATTTATATAAACGTGCTTTGAAACATATACAGTTACGCGAAATAATAGTACAAAAATCTGTACAACTATATAAATTATAAAAGAATTGTATAATTTGACTTTTTCAATAAATAAAAGTAATTTAAACGCGATTTTACGATCAAACGAGATCAGCCGTCGAAAATTTTCGCATGCGGTATCTGAAATATAATAGCCGCTTGAGCGAACAGGAATATTTGGATCCTAAAGAGCGTTAATAATTAATGATTGTGACAGTGATATGCTCCGTCTAATTTCTAAAATTATCCGTAAAAGATCAATCGCGAATTCTATTTCTCCTCCTTTCTTTTCTTTCTATTGTCTTTGAACTTTCAATGGTGAGTATCTTTTTTTTCTCACTGGACGCTTCGTAGTTATCAAAAGAACCTACACAATATTCTAAAATAATTCTCACGATCATGATGTTTAACATTACTGCCCAATATGGACACGTTCAATCGTGTCCATTAAAACATTAATGGATTCCGCGATTTACACGGTTAATCCATCCTCTACACCTAACAGGCAAAAATCTCGAAAGATTTTTATCCAAAGTCGGTCGCATTAGTCAATTTAAATTTAACGCAAAAACATTTTTAAGTAACCGATCAATCGTACGATTTAAGAAGTAATCTTTTTTTTATGTTCTATCATTCGCCTACGGTTGATACAATAGTATCGCATGTTGAAAGATCAGAGGACAGCGTGCAAACCATAAACGATACTTTTCGAAGACACAAGGTACACATATGTAGTCTGCGAATCACCCGGAGATTATAGTCGAATCGACTTTTAACGATAGCTATATAATTCGATAGGAATAACGATAGCTCGATATTTACAATTAATTAAATTGGTCGCACGTCGTCGTCTTCGAGGAGCGCAGACTTTGCGAGAGGAGAACATGAATATCAAGTTTTATATCAATTGTCGTATCATGCTTCTTTTTTCTGTATGTGGTTGGAGAGTAAACCCTGATTGATCGGAATGCCTACATACGTGCTGTTCTAATGTTTCGATTCGCGTGGCACGACCTTACACGAGACACTTTCTCTAATTTTAAGGAATACAAACGCGAGTAGCGCCTCTTTGCCTCGTCACCTTTTCGAAAGGCGGCGGCACACTTCAAGAAGGAAAAAAAATCTTCTTTCTCCACGTATTTGATTAGAAACGCGCGATCTGCACGCCATGATTTCCACATTTGAGCTCGAAAAGATCGTGTGCACTTTGCATGGCGGGAACGTTAAGTTTGTAGAGATGCAGAAGCGCATCCGAAAGTCTCTTAATAAACGTAAAGCTAAAAATAGACGGGTGTATATATATATAATATATGTATATAAATTTTTCGCTTGAGAT